ATGGCAAGCATTTTGGAGCAGGAAATTTCTAGATACTGGGAGATAATATAGACCATTTGAGAAAAAGTAGGCTGGTAATAGACAATATCAAGACTGTGTGGCTGGAGGACATAAATTAATCCTGAAACCTAGAATCATTACCACATGTTCAAGTATTGAGAGAAACTCTAACCTGGAAAGAAGCATCCACTAGAGTTTCTATAAAATGGAAATATTTTTTTTTTAACAGGAATGTGCAACCAGGAGAATGCAAAACAATGCTCATCATACCTGTAATCAAGTACGCTTTCCCACAAGGGATCTTGGGACCAACTGAAGAGCTGCTGGATCCTTTGATTAAGATCTAGCAAACTATTCTTGATTACCAAAATGTTATATAGTTTAGAGTCAATAATTATAGCATGAAAGACCAGCATCCTCTTTAGAACGCCACCACTCTGTAGAGTATGCCACTTGCTGAAACATTGGGGTTTTGCTGTACTCTGAAGATGATATCAAAAGTAAAAGTAGTCTTGTGAACAGATAATGAAGGAAAAGATAGAAATAAGATTATATAGTGTGCAGTACACTAAAAACTTACACCTTTTGACTACAGAGGACCACTTAAAAGTATTTTGTTGTTGCTACTGATGTTGTTAACAACATACTTCAACTAAATAATAGGCAGCAATATAGATAGAAAAAATTTTAACGTAATAGGTCTCAAAGCAGACAGACTAGCCTGCATTAATGGGAAACAGAGCTTTTTAAGTACAGTTCTACAATCATACATCCAGGCAAAGCATAATGCAAATGCAGGCCTCCGCATGGTGTCATATCTGTAATCTGAGAGGCTACAGCAGGACAGCAAGTTTGAGGCTAGCATAAGCTACCCAGCAAGTCTTGAGGACACCCTAGGTTACATCAAGACCTAGCATCAAAAAACAAACATTCACTAAAACAAAATGGAAGTGCAAACACAAGAGAAAGATGTGATACTATGATATATGTCATATACCTTAATGGGGGGTACCCTGCAAGTGCTGTCATTAAGAAATTTCATCACTGTCCCTCTAAACTTAAAAGAGATGGTTTGAAGGTTGAGCTGATCACAAATGACCAGTGACTTTACAATCATTTCTACATAATAAACCTACATTAAAAAAATACAAAAGGCAGAATTTGGGGAGCTTCTAGGCTACTGAACATATGGATAATAACAAACCTACTGATATATCTCTTTCTCCTATAGCTTGCCCTATGTATCTCATCAAATGGCTGTTCATTTGTATTTAAAATATCTTCATAATAAACTCAATTGCAGATTAAAGAGGTCCTAGTCTGTGGACCATAACCTAATTTACAACTGGTGTCTGAAGTAAGAGCACTCCACCAAAGGACCTTTAAACAGTTGGACTAAAGTAACTCGAAGTATACAGATGTTCTAAGTGAATTAAAGGACATTTAGTTGGTGTCAGAGAACTGTTACCAGTAAGAATAAAAACAAATAAAAAAACATATAAATGGTCACAGAAATATTCTGAAGCTGAATACAGAAGAAGGAAAATGATTAATTTTACCCCCATCTTCAAGACCATATGTTAGGGCTGGTTAGAGTAGCATACTTAATAATCCCAGCACTCAGGAGACAAGGGCAGGAGGATCCTTATAAGTACAAGGCCAGCATGGTGTACATAGCAAGTTCCAGGCTGCCTCAAAAGGAGAAGGGGGGGGGGGGGGGGGGACAACGGAAGACAGAAACACATTAATAAAATTAGGACTGATGGTAAAGAAAAAAAGACTACAGTTAAACTTGAAGGTAGGAAGTCAGCTGAAGCTAATCTTCTACCATTCCCTACCCATGAACCCTCTACTTCTTCCCTTTTTTGTTTGTTTGTTTTTTTCAAGACAGGGTTTCTCTGTATAGCTTTGGAGCCTGTCCTGGAACTCACTTTGTAGTCCAGGCTGGCCTTGAATTCACAGAGATCTGCCTGCCTCTGTCTTCTGAGTGCTGGGATTAAAGGCATGTACCACCCTCTACTTCCTTTTTTTTTTTTTTTGGTTTTTCGAGACAGGGTTTCTCTGTGTAGCTTTGCACCTTTCCTGGAACTCACTTGGTAGCCCAGGCTGGCCTCGAACTCACAGAGATCCGCCTGGCTCTGCCTCCCGAGTGCTGGGATTAAAGGCGTGCGCCACCACCGCCCGGCACCACCCTCTACTTCTTTAAGCAATAACTAATGAAGCAATTTTGCCACAAGGAAAAATATACTATCTTCCTTTGCTTACTGCTTTTCACCAACAATTTTATAATACTACGTAGCCTGAGAGATGGGCCAGCAGGATAAAGACATTCACTGTCAGACCTAACAGTTCAATTCCTGGGGCTCCTATGATAGAAGGAGAGAATCAATTCTAAAATTTGTACTCTGACCTTCACACTGAGCTTTGGCACACCCCTCCCCAAATAATTAACTGTAACAAAAAATTTTTAAATACTATGAAAAAAAATTTGAGAGATCAAAGTATCTGCCTGAAGCTGTGATAAATTAGAGGACAAATAATACTGTGATTTGGCCCTAAATGTGAAGTCTTCTGTAAGATTAGTCACTTCAGGTAAAACACTGGCTAAATTGAAGATGAGAGACATGAAACATTTCTGAATATAACTGTGGTGGCCCACAGAGGCTATCTAGTGAGACCTTACTCAATGTCAGAGAATCTGAGCTTTATTTACCCAGCAGAGCTGCATAATGGGATGATTTGGCCACGGGCGTGTTTACTAGGTGTTTGGAAGGGTCTACATACACTTAGCTTTACAGTATGCTTTGATCTTACAAGAGAGAGGTCTTTTGCCTCTCCCTTTGGCATATTATAAAAAGCCCTTTTGAATAAAGGACTGGGCAGCTGGGTATTGACACAGGGCCCTCCCGAAGCTATCCTGTGTCTGTCTTTCTTCTCATCTCTTTCTGTGTTTCTGTCTATCATTTCCTCATTCTTCTCTCTTCCACCCAAGAACCCTTCGATGGCTGGTCTCTGGTAGACTCCTACATATAACTAATTAAGATTATAAAGAGTTAGAAAATGCTCTTCTTAAAAAAGTATTATATGGGGCTGGAGAGATGGCTCAGAGGTTAAGAGCACCTACTGCTCTTCCAGAGGTCCTGAGTTCACTTCCCAGCACCCACATGGTGGCTCACAGACCATCTGTAATGAGATCTGGCACCCTCTTCTGTGTACATAATAAATAAATAAATCTTTTTTTTTTAAAAAAAGGTATTATATCTTGATATAATCAAATGTGACCTGTTTTATGTAATGTATACTGTACAGAAACGAACATATAAAGAGATTTAGAGCATAAACACTGGCATGCAAATCATGGCTCTACCACTGCACAAATTACTAAGGCCTCCTGAGAGCAGGTTCTTACACCTTCCATTCGTACTGTAAGCACTTTAATACTTCATGAATTAAATGAGCACTCAACACGGAGAAAACAATAACTGTTAGCAACTGGATGACGGCATCAGTGACACTCAATAAATTCACTGAAGAAAACACACTTAAACTATTTACTCCAGGCACAGTTGTACATTCTTGTAATCCCAGGTGCTTGGGAGTCTGAGTGAAGCAAGAAGATCATAAACTTGAAAACCAACCTGGGCAACTCACAAGACTTCATTTGACAAAGAAAATAAGAAAGGGGAGATGGAAAATATAGGTTAGTTGGGGATTGGGGCAGAAACTATTTACTACCCTTTCTTGATAAAACTTACTTTCATCCATTTAGAAAAATCTATTTTATTTATTTATTTTTGTAGTTTTTTTAATTGTTTGTTTTGTTTTGGTTTGGTTTGGTTTTTCAAGACAGGGCTTCTCTATGTAGCTTTGGTGCCTGTCCTGGGTCTCACTCTGTAGACCAGGCTGGCCGTGAACTCACAGAGATCCGCCTGGCCCTGCCTCCCGAGTGCTATGTGCGCCACCACTGTCCGGCGAAAAATCTATTCTTAAAAAGACCCTAGATAATTCTAGTTTGTGGACAGACCATACCACCTACTATTTCTAATAAACAGAAGCCATGGAAAGTGAGAGAGCATGTAAAAATTTTGTTATATGCCTAACTAAAAATTCTATTACAGTTCTAAAACTGTTCAGATGAAACAGACGTGTGAGTATTGCTGATTCTGTCAAAATACGGTTAATAAAAAGATATGTATTGCTGGGCAGTGGTGGTGCACGCCTTTAATTCCAGCACTCAGGAGGCAGAGGCAGGGGGATCTCTATGAGTTCGAGGCCAGCCTGGTCTACAGAATGAGTTCCAGGACAGCAAGGACTGTTACACAGAGAAACTCTATCTCAAAAAAAAAGGGTATGTATTAAAACTGTACTCAGTAACAATGTTTACTTATAGCCGGGTGGTGGTGGTGCACGCCTTTAATCCCAGCACTCGGGAGGCAGAGCCAGGCAGATCTCTGTGAGTTCCAGGCCAGCCTGGGCTACAGAGCGAGTTCCAGGACTGCGAGAGCTGCACAGAGAAACCATGTCTCGAAAAACCAAAATTTACTTGTTTATAGAGTCCCACTTTTCCTACAAATTATATATCTAATGTGAAACCAGTGTATTTATGTTTAGATATTAAAACATGGTATCAGCCACATATGTGAGAATATTTATCAGTCACCTCTATGCAAACAATTGCTAACTTTTCATATAGCCTCTAACCTAAATACATTACATTTGGAAAAAGCTTCAGTGAACGATAGGACTAATGAACAAGGAAGTAACATAACTCCAATTTTATAAATCCAAAACCACATAAATGATATACCATAACAAATATTCATAATAAGTAGATATGAACATAAAAGACATTATCTTATCAAACATAGATTGCTTCAAGAAATAAAATCAGGGCTAAGACAAATATGCTAAGACAAAATTATGGGACCAATATTTGTTTAAAAACAAATTTATCAGTACTATTTCTAATATTTTTCAGTAAACAATTAAGACTTCTGTACCTATGTTCTTTGTGCTCCAATAGCTGACAGTCTCTACACGTCAGTCTATCACATGTTTCACAGAACAGTTTCAACTGTTCTTGTTTATGTACAGGACAAAACACAGGGCGCTGACCAGATGCTCCAACAGACTCTGTAACAAAATAAAACATTTAAACAATAAAATGTTTTACTAACTTTTCTCTATTTTTATTGGTGCTAGTATTCAAAACTAACAGTAAGTAGACCATAGCATTTTGACTCAAAAGGTTAAATGTGAACATTAAAACTATGTGCATAGGGACAAGCAAAATACCTCAGTGATAAAGGCATATGCTGCCAAGCCTGATGGTCAAAATTCCATCCCTGGGACTCAAATGCTATAGGAAACTCAACTCCTGAAAGTTGTCCTCTGACTTCCACAAAGAAGCACTGTGGCATGAGGGTACACACACAATGTTTTTTAAAAACAGCAACTCTATGCATCGTCGTCGTGGTCGTACCTGAGACATCTTCTTTTTTCCTGATGAGATGATCTTTAGTGAATTTTACTCTCTGGTGTGCTTCAATGCATGTCTTACATAGCCACTCTCCACACTCTACACAAAAGCCAACTGCACTTGCATTGTCTTCACAACTGGTGCAAACCTAAGAGAAATAAACACTAACCTACATTACATTTGCCAAATGCAGATCCACAAAATAAAGAAGTGGAAACTTTGTAAATTGCAAAAAAGAACCCAATTCATTATATAAAGAATAAAATCATCTTGTTATCCATTTATCTTTAACAAAATTCCTTTATCAATAAACATTTATTTAGATAGGTAAAAATCTAATACTCAGAACATAAAAATCTATGCAAAAATTAACTTTTTAAATAATAACCTTTACTTCACCAGGGCTGAGGGTGTGGAAGAGTTATCGTTTATTTCTAATTGGAAATATAGAACTTAGCGGAAGTGTCTAAATTACTTAGTCAAATGTTTTTCTTATAATTTACATTTTGAAAACAAGGAAAATATACAGAAAAATTAAGGTGCATACCTGTTCTGACTTCTCATCAGAACTGCTAGGAGCTTCAGATGTGTCTTTCACAAAATAATTATCCACAAGATCTATCTGTCTGCATTCTTGACGGCATACTGGACACCGTATTACACCAACTAAAAAAAGAGACAGGAGTTAATAATGAATAATGTTCTTCAAAATGGAAAGAAGGAAATTCTGAGCCAGGTAGTGGTGGTGGTGCACACCTTTAAACCCTGCACTAGGGAGGCGGGTGGATCTCTGTGGGTTTAAGACCAGTTTGGTCTGCACTTGTGAGTTTCAGGACAACCAGAGCTATATAGAAAGACCCTGTCTCAAAAGGAGGTCAGGAGAGAAAGATGTCATCAAGGTGTTTGAGATATATATTATTTCTGAATTATTCAAGAGGGACCCTATAAGAGTGAGGCAGACGCAGATTAGTGTGTGTGTGCAGGTACCCAAGGAAGACAGAAAAAAAATGTAGGATCCTTTCTTTATAGCTGGAGTTACAGGCAGTTGTAAGCCATCAAAATTGAGCGGATGCTAGGAAATGAACTCTGGAAGAGCAGCAAGCACTCTTAAGCACTGAAGCACCTCTCCAGCACTCAGACAATCAGAAGACTGGAGTGACTGCCAAGAAAGATGGCCACTAAAAGCTAAAAAGGTAATAAGGGATTCTTCTCTAATGCCTGTACAATCAGTCCTGTCAACACTGCCTTTAACCCAGTGAAACAAGATTTCAAAGTTCCTACCTCCAGAGCTTTAAAAGTATAAGGTGTATGTGTTCTAAATCAACAAATTCTTGGTGATTTTATTGTTGCAAGAAATAACAATCATTCTATAAACTTTAGTTTGGTACTTAATATAGTTTATGCAACTATGGGGGAAAGAGAACCCATGCTTTTACCTATCAGTGTCTTCATATCTATTAGAAAGGATAAACTACTGATGTAATATGGAAGCTAAAGAATTAAAAATTAACACAGAAGTCAATTAACAAACTACTGACATGTCAACCATAGAATTGAAGGTACATATATGTTCTGTTCTCTGACCCCCAGATAAGTTTATTGGGGTGCACAATATATCAACCACACTTAAAAGGCTTAACATTTGAAAACTGAACTATGCTGTATGGGCTTAAACTTTCTTAAAACATGTTCATTCCATACTATATGAATGTACATTTGTAACAATCATACAGACTTTTAAGAAGATATTCCTTTTCAAAAGGGTGCAGAGCTAAAATTATTCCCAAGTCAAGGAGCCAATCAAGGAAGAGGGACAAGGAAGGAAAAAAGAACAGAACAGAACAGAACAGAACAAAATAATAACAAGTAAAACCTCACTTTTGTTTTTTGCTTGTTTTGGTCGGTTGGTTTTTTGAGACAGGGTTTCTAGGTGTATCCCTGGCTGTCCTGGAACTCACTCTGTAGACCAGGCTGCCCTCAAACTCACAGATCCACCTGTGTTGGGATTAAAGGCATAGGCCGCCGCCACTACCCAACATAAAACTTTGTTTTAACACATTAACTGAAAACCTAAAAATCAAATGACATAAAATAGCCCAGTTACTGGAAAATCAATTAATCTGTATAAGCCAGCTCACCCAGTAACTACTTTAGAGGTTAACAGGACAGTTAGATGTCACACCAAAGTTGCGGCTCCGAGGACCACACTCCATATTTGAGAATAGAAATTCTAAACTACGGGCAAGGATTCCAATAATCTCTGTTGGTACCATTTTTTCTCTTAGCTTGATTCGCAAAAACAAAAACAACAACAAAAACCAAACAAATGCCCAGGAAAGCAGTGAGGGCATGGAACTCTCCACTCCCTATCTGTCTAATGCATTGAGCATAGTTCAACTGTGTTCTATCCTGCACTTTTCTCTCACTCAACAATTTTTAAACTTACCCTTTTAAAAATGAGGGCTATGATAAAGATAAAAGTCAATATTGTCCAAGTTTTATTTAAATTTTTATTAATACAAGGGTCTTTGGTTTTTTTAGATTTATTTATATTTTATGTATATGAGTGTTTTGCCTGCATGCATGTCTGTGAATTACAGACAGTTGTGATACATCAAGTGTGTGCTAGGAATGGAACCCAGGTCCTCTGAAGACTGACTACCCAACGCTCTTAACAGCTGAGCAACCTCTCCACCCTTTTCCCTTTTTGAGACAAGTTCTCACTATGCAGCCTTGGCTGCACTGGAACTCACTTTGTAAACTCTTAAGAGCTCTACCAGCCTGCCTACTGAGTTCTGGAATTAAACCTCGTTCCAACAATCCAAGCTTGTATTGTAAAACACACATAACTGTTTCAATTAGTTTTCTTCGTAGTTTCAATGACTGGCCCATTTTAAAAGTGAAGAAATCGATATTCAGGGACCAGAAAACTTGCTCAAGGGCAGATAGAGATATAAATAGGTCAGAGGGCACACAGGACCTAAAATCAAGATGCGCTCTAAAGTACATGCTCTTGAAAACTTTTAAATCCTTAGGGGAAGGAAAATACAAATTAAAACTACCTTGAGATTTCAACTCGCCCAGCCAAAAAGAGCGACAATCATCTATAAAACAAGAATACCAAAAGCTGGGAAGGGTTCAAGGAAAGGAGAACTCCTATTCATTGTTGGGGAGCATGTCAACATGTAGAGTCACTATGGAAATCATTGAATATCTCAGAAAAACTACAACTAAAACTAAAATTACCAGCCGTGCAGTGGTGGCGCACGCCTTTAATCCCAGCACTTGGGAGGCAGAGCCAGGCGGATTCCTGTGAGTTCGAGGCCAGCCTGGTCTACAGAGCGAGATCCAGAACAGGCACCAAAACTACACAGGGAAACCCTGTCTCGAAAAACCAAAAACAAACAAACAAAAAACTTTAAAAGATGGAGAATCAGCCGGGCGTGGTGGCGCACGCCTTTAATCCCAGCACTCGGGAGGCAGAGCCAGGCGAATCTCTGTGAGTTCGAGGCCAGCCTGGGCTACCAAGTGAGTTCCAGAAGAGGCGCAAAGCTACACAGAGAAACCCTGTCTCGAAAAACCAAAAAAAAAAAAAGATGGAGAATCACTAACTTGTAACTTCAGTCTTTTGAGGTTTAAGCCTTTGAATTAAGTCCTAAACTCTACTATTCAACTTGCCAAATGACTACAGTATTCTGTTTTTAGAATTGTCACTGTATATCCATTATTTAACTCACAGGGATCCGCCTGGTTCTGCTTCCCAGTGTTGGGATTAAAGGCCTGCGCCACCACCGCCCAGGTAGCAATTTACTTTTAAATATATACTATATTTGACCAGCAGTTCTTTGCATGACCTAACAACCTTTATATCAGCCCCAGATTTTCCTTCTGTTATCTTTGAGTAGTCATCCACATCTCTGAATCATAAACAAGCCTCTCCCTCAGAAAATATGTAAAGATTAAAAAAATACAGGAATTTTCAGTTGAAGTTCTTGACAGAAGTAACACATATGGCCCTTAATTGTTTAAGTGAGAGGTCAGTCCAGGCAAAGAAGGGGTCCTGTATATTTAATTACAGGCAGACTGAATTAAATAATTCAGGGAAGCGCTGGAACTACTGCTCAGTGGTAAATAAAGCACTCCCCCTACACTTGTCAGCCCTGTGTTCAACTGTCTTGCCTGTCCTGTAAAATAACAGAAGATGGAGAAAACAGCAGACAGATTTTAACAGTCATATGAAGAGCTGGAAATGAGAAGTGTTAAAAACTATGACAAAACAACCGGTAAAAAAGCAAAGGGAGAGAATGGCCATGAGAAGCCAAATAAAAAACCATTACTTGATACAGATAAAAATGGGATGGGGCTAGAGAGATGGCTCAGTGGTTAAAACCAGAGGACCCAGGTTCAATTCCCAGCATCCACATGGGAGTTCACAACCATCTGTAATTCTAGTTTCACAAGCTCTGATGCCCTCTTCTGGCCTCTGAGGACACTCACTGTATGCACATGGTACTCAGACTCTTACACATAAAATAAATCTAAATAAAGAAAGAAACTTAAGAGATATAGAAAATAATTTATGAGCTGGCTCACCCCTAAAGCAATACCATATAGCAACATATGTTTAGATTATGCTCATAAATATCCAGCAAACTCCCACAAGTCAGTTTTAGCATTATGCATGAAAATATCTGTTGAAATTAGTTATATAGTGATATGTGCATACATGATCATATTAAACCCAATTCTATATCAAACAGAATGAAATATATTTAAGTATTATAGTAAATAATTATTGATACTCTTAGTTTCAAATATTCTTTTTTTGTGTATGTGGTTTGTTTTTTCTAGACAAGGTTTCTCTGTGTGTATCCCTGGCTGTCCTGGAACTCACTTTGTAGACCAGGCTGGACTCAAGATCCGCCTGCCTCTGCCTCCCAAGTGCTAGGCTTAAAGGTGTTCGACCACCCAGCTAAGTTTCATATATTCTTTTTTTTTTTTTTCAATTTATTATGTATACACTGTTCTGCCTGCATGTCCACACGCCAGAAGAGGGCGCCAGATCTCATTACAGGTGGTTGTGAGCCACCATGTAGTTGCTGAGAATTGAACTTAGGACCTCTGGAAGAGCTGCCAATGCTCTTAACCTCTGAGCCATCTCTTCAGCCCCCAAGTTTCATATATTCTTAAGGATCTATATGTCTTCAAATTAAAATTTTAAAATCTTATGTAACCAGAAAACAATGAGTAAATATAGCAATATTCAGCATAATTTAAAATACAAGTTTTTTCAACATGGCAAAAGTCTGTATAAAAAAAACTAACATACTTGTCAAACAGTGATACATAAAATTAAGATAATTATAGCTTGTTAACTATGTTTTTAAAATGCAAGTTTAAAAAATAAAGTAGGGCTAACAAAACATTATTCCAAGCCAGGCAGTGGTGGCGCACCCCTTTAATACCTGCAGCACTCAGGAGGCAGAGACAGGCAAATCTCTGAGTTTGAGGCCAGTCTGGTCTACAAAGTGAGTTCAGGACAGCCAAGACTGTTAAACCCTGTCTCGAAAAACCAAAAGCATTATTCCAAACACCAGGACTCATATGCTGGAGGGAGAAAACTGACTCCAACAACTCGTCCTGACCTCAAGAATGTCATGGTATGA